AAGTTTATTTCAGGTACACGGGTAACACTATGATTTCCTATTATTATTATTATTATTATTATTATTATTATTATTATTTTCTTTGATTTCTGGCGTTTACACATTTCTTTCCGGATCACGCCTAGGGACCTAAGGTTAGAAATGGCATCATGGCACTTTCCACTGACAAAATAAAAAAAAATGACCTAGATAAAGCCCTACGTAATGTTTAGGCTGTACTTGTCAGAAAAATCTTTTGTATCTTCCAGGAATCCCTTCAATTAGTCTACTGCAATCTTTTCCAACCAGTCCTAGGGCTCCAACTACGACAGGGATTGTTGATGTTCCCATATGCACACATTTTCGAGATTTCTAGATTTCTATTTTAAGTTTATTATTATTATTATTATTATTATTATTATTATTATTATTATTAATAATATTATTATTTATGTATGTTATGTTTTCTACCTTGTATCTTGTAGAGCCGGGTCCAAACTATGGACCTTAGGCCCTATAGAAGAATTGTCCTTTAACTGATAGCATGTTTCTTTGTATATAGAGAGTACCTAGTAGGACGATTTTCTGGGCAACTTATATATTGATGTTACCCGGGACACTGCTAATAAAATTGTATGTTCCTTTCTCCCGAAGCCCAGAGCTCCAATTATCATTGGTACAATCTCAGTCTTCATCCTCCGCATCGCGTCATTCTCAATATCAATGTCCTTGTGTTTGGACAATTTCTCGATAATTTTCATGGAGGTCTCTCTGTAAGATGGTACTGCTATGTCAATAAACTTACGCCTCCCGAATTTCTTGTCTTTTATGATAATATCATGACTGTTGGCTTTTATTTTTCTCTCAGTTTGAATTGGTATATTCCTAGAGGATACTTACATAGTTATTTTGGTTAAATATATTAAATATATATATTTGGGGCTTTTTGCATATCTTCCAGTGCCCATATGTCGCTACCTTGTTATGTCTGTGGGTATATTCATTTTTTGCTAGTTCCCGACACTCTGAAATAATATGGTCGACAGTTTCATTCTCCTACTGCTCCTCCTCCTCCTCATCATCATCATGTTATTATTATTATTATTATTATTATTATTATTATTATTATTAATTTTTTCTTTGATTTCTGTTCTATACACATTTACTTCCTGGTTCCAATCAGAGGCCGAAGCTCAGAAATGGCATCATAACATTTTCCACTCATAAAAAAAAACAAAAACAAAACAAGCTGAGATCACACACATTTTTCATTGATAAAGCTCTTTGTAATGTGTGAGCTGTAATTATGAGTATCTCTTTAAGGCATGGACTACCAGGAATCCATTTAATGAGCCTATCGGAACTTTTTCCAATCAATCCGAGGGCTACAACTACATCTAGAATTATTGATACCCTCATATGCCACAATTTTTAGATTTTCACTTCAAATCCTTGTATTCTGTTAGTTTTTGAAAATCTTCATAGATACATTCCAATCTTCAAGGACTGCACATTCTGTTTTACGGTCTTTGATCCCTATCTCTGGTCGATTAGCCTTGATTGTATAGTCTATGTTTATTGTAAAGTCCCATAAAATTGTTACAAGTCTTATCCCCCTAACTGGCTCTGTGTGATGTTCGTACCAGTTTCTTGGAGTTTCATTCCCGTAAAACTTACAGATTTTTCAGTGCAGATATTATTATTATTATTATTATTATTATTATTATTATTATTATTATTATTATTATATATTCAGTGCAGATATTATTATTATTATTATTATTATTATCATTAAATTATTATATTACACTGAGTGCAAAAATTATTATTATTATTATTATTGTTATTATTATTATTAATATTATTATTATTATTATTATTATCATTATTGTTATTATTGTATTATATTCAGAGCAGAATATTAATATTATTATTATTGCTGTTATTATTGTTATGTAATTATTATATTATATTCAGTGCAAATATTATTATTATTATTGTTATTATTATTACTATTATTATTATTATTATTATTATTATTAAGTTATTATATTATATTTAGTGCAGATGTTATTATTATTATTATTATTGTTATTATATTATATTCAGTGTAGAATATTATTATTATTATTATTATTGCTATTATTATTATTATTATTATATAATTATTATATTATATTCAGTGCAATTATTATTATTATTATTATTATTGTTATTATTATTACTATTATTATTATTATTATTAAGACCAAATGTTTGACGTAACTACAAATATTTTGTAACGCTTGCAATATGGCGTTATTTGCAGTAAAGAAAATGTAAAAGAATATTTTTGACAGTACGACGGTCTTCATCAGGTTATACATCAAACAAGTATCTATTCATGTATAAAGAACTCAAATCTATGTACGAGCGTAAGATGTCTTTAAAAAAAACCCTGTTTCACAGTTATTCAATGCAACTTGCCTTGTCTGTTGCTTAACAGAGAACCTCGATTTTCATAGGGTTGAAATGGCAAACTTGAATCTTCGCCCCCTGAAAAAAAGCAAAAGCAAAAATAGAAAACGGAGTTCGAAAGGAAAGTTTGTCTATTAAACATACCAAAATGAAATAAGTACAACTATTCCCAAACCTAAGCAAAGTATTAGGAAACAGGAAAATTTGGTTTAACACAAAGAAAATAGTACTGACCTGTTACGTAATATCAGACTTCCTATATGGCAAAGAATACTAAAAAAAAATCCTCACAAATGAAGAAGAGGCTTGAAGCAAGAGAATGTGGTTCTATACAAGAATGCTGAAACCCAACATATGATTTTTTGAGGAAATGGAAGCAGAAATGTCACTTTTAACTTCCAAAAGAGAAAAGTTGAAATTTCAAAGGTGCCTAATCAGGAAAGAGGGCTTGGGATATTTGATACTCACAAGACATACAGAATAGAAAATGGACAGTGGGAAACAATGTATAACCTGCCTAAAGCTTGTGTAAAAGGATGGCAGAACAGATTTTAGAAGAAAAAATAAAAATATAAAATTTATTAAGAGCTACAAATGACAGGAAATTATGGAAAGCCATGACCGCCAACGTCACTAAAGGAGACAACCTGATGTTAAGAAGGGCAGAGCGACAGAGGTATAACCGCGAATAATGATATTGTGTAATTGGATCGCAGAAGAGTGGCCACCTCCTGAGGGGAGACGGTGCATTGCAAAAAGAGAGGAGGCGGGAGAAGGAAGAGAAAAAGAAAGAAAGGAAGTAGGAGAAGAAGAAAAAGAAAAAGATTGTAGACCAAGAAGAAGAAGAGAAAGAAAGTTAAGAAGAAGAAGAAGAGAAAGAAAGTTAAGAAGAAGAAGAAAGAAGAAATGGAGAAAAAAGAAGAAGAAGAATTGTCTCTTGAAAGAAAGCCTACAAAATGACGAGTCTGTGTAGGATTATAAGGCTTTAAAACTTAAGTAAACCTGTCAAACCACGAAAAGTTTCAGTATATCACCAACGATTCGTGTCAATTATTACATGATATTTAGTATCATACGAAGTACTGTATTTTTGGACTTTATTATTTACTCAAGATCGCGTCCTGTAGACTTTTCTATTCCACTATGCGATATTCCACTGTTGAGTAATGGATAGTGGCTCGGATTGAGGAATCAGACAGCCGAGATCGAATTCAAGTCGAGTTCATTACATTCACTTACGTGCAAATACCCTTGGAAAAAATAGAACCCATCTCTTCTCCACCAATTATTGGTAAAATAGCAGGGCAGACTGGTTTCTATAGCCTTGTATAGCAACCGGTGTACGAGAAAGAGAACTGAATTCAAAACGTGAAGACGTAGTTTACGAACCGATAGCAACCCAGACCATATTCCGTATGTTCGGCTGTCGGTTAAGATATTGGAGAAGAGATGGGTGCCGCCGTGTTATCTGAATGTCCACTGAAAGGATCATAAGAAAAAACCTCTTCTGTCGTCAGGGTTAAGAAAAAATCCATATATTTGATTTTCTAATAGCAAAACAGAGAAACTCACTAGTGCTACATCATATCTTATCGTCATACCGGTACATTAGACTGGTCATTTTGTCCAATCATAAGCGTACAAAACCATAGTCATAAAACCAAAGTCATAAATCTCCTACAGAAGGTAGCGACGGAGAGTGGGAAGAAGGGACTAAGCATAAACTACAAGAAGACAGAATGCATGGTTGTCAGTAAGAGGATGAGCCCAAAATGCAATTTGAATGTCGGGAACACTAGAATCGATCAAAAACGGAATTTAAATATCTGGGAAGCGTCCTGACAGACGAAAGTGTGACACTGTGATCCGTAGGCGTATTGGGATGGCCAAGGACAGATTCCAAAAGCTGGGCAGTGTATTCCCAGACAGGAGGATTTCTTTGGTAACTGAGCTGTTACGTGACATCCGTTTTTCTTTACGGCAGTGAATGTTGGACGATTTCCTGAAAGATGAAGAAGAGACTCCAGGCGAGAGAGATGTTGTTCTACGGAATTATATTGAGGATATCATGGACAGAGCGCGTGAGAAACGATGAGGTTTTGGAGAGGATGCAAACAAGCAGGAGGCTTATACTTAACATCAAGAAGAGGCAGCTGAAGTTTCTGGGACACATAATGTGGAAGCAGGGTCTGGAGAATCTGATACTCAGGGGTCGAATAGAGGGAAAGTGAGACAAGGGAAAACAATGCGTGACATACCTGGCGGACTTAAGGAAGTGGATGAGAGAACGTGGTCTGGGGGAGGAAGCAGAGGAAAGGAACTTGTTGAGAGCTGTAAGGGATAGAGGGAGGTGGAGAACCATTATCGCTTACATCCTGAAAGGACATGGCACATAAAAAGAAAGAAAGAAAGGTGTTGCGTTATTGCTTTAGCTTTTCGAAGGTTCGCAGAAGGCGTTCCACTAGTGTTGAAAGTTACTTGATTGACGTCTGATGCGAGCTCAATATAGGAATGTCACGTTTGCCACACTATTCTCTGGGAAAGATTTGTAATATTGAACTGGGATGTATTCGCCTAAAAGTAAGGTTTTCTGTCTTTGTCTCACCTCATCAAAACTGGTTATGTGTCTTTATTTCTGGAAAAAAATAATATGGTTATATTATCAAAGCTAACATTAAGCTATTCGATTTTCTCCTTTCGTTTCGCTAAAACGCCACAGGATTAACACGATTCTGTTTTAGCAACTAACACCAACCGAATCTTCTAAGTTAATTACCTGCTTCATCAGTGATCTTACGAAAGACTAAAAAAAAAAAAACGAACCTTGAATTATGAGTTTATTTCCCAAGACGGCGTTTCTATCATAGAATTCATGATTTGAAGCCATTATTAGACAGATCACAGGCTGCAAATGCAAATTACAGTCGGAAATTTACAATAACTTAAATGGATAGCACATGCAACCCGTAGTGAAAATATTGTCATAAAAAAGATACTGACTTTCTACACAACCTTAACAAAAAGGTAAATACGGAAACGACCATTAATACCGTTATCATATGCGGAGACCGGCGAAGGATGGCAAATTAGTGGTCAGTTGATCGGTTGGTTGACTTTATTTAGCGGTATATTAAACCCCCCAATTTAATATCGAAATCTAAATAATTTGAAAACTGCTTTATGGCTGCAACAAAATATATTCAAGTTGTCCATTGGGTTAAATGGATGAACGATTTTGGTTGGTTCATTTTATTTAGCGAAATATGAATTGCTTAATGTCAAAATCTAAATATTTTGAACGCAATTTTATGCTTTCAACTACACATAGTTTATACGTAATTTCTTACTTTCAGACCAAATATATGTTTTTAGAAATATTGTTTGTAGAAAATAAATTGAATTGTTTTAATTTTACTACAAAATGTAATGGTAATTTTTTATAAAAAATCTATTGCTGATAATTTTAATATAAAGATATATTCTTATTCTTTTTTTAGTTGTCTATTGACTCAACATGCTATAAAAATGTACTGATAGTAAAATTTTCTACAGACATGTATTGTTGGTAAATTTACTATAAAAAGGTACTGTTTATCTTTGTTTGGACTGTGAGGTAACGGAGAGCGGCTCGGAGTGAGGAATCGGAGAACCGAGTTCGAATTCCAGTCAAACCCGTTACATTCATTTACTTGGAAAGGTATGAATACCCTTCTACTCACCACCAGCTATGGATAAATAGCAAGACAGACCGGGTTCTATATTCTTCGATGGCAACTGGTCTACTGCGAAAAGAAATAGCAACCTACAGCGGGAAAAAAAATCTGCTTCGTCAGTCATGTATGAAAAGATACATGATCGCCTATGTGTGTATCACGTATGGCACATAACTGACTGGACTGACGTGCTAATACCCTTGGGAAAGGTATGAAATCTCTTCTTCCTCCAGCTCTGGGTAAATAGCAGGACAGACCGGGTTCTGTAGCCTTGGATGTCATCTGGTCTACCGCAGAATGAATTGGCAACCTACGGCAGGAAAAAAAACATCTTCATTATTGTTCATGAAGGTATGTCACGTGACTGCCTGGTTCACTAATGCTAACCAATAGGTAGGATCCTAACAAGTGCTACGGAAGACGAAATCAACTGCACACAAAAAAAACCCAAAAACTGTTAGAATGGAATTCTGGCAGTGATGGATTACCTTTGTCTAAGTTTGTTTTTTATATAAAAGACCAGAACGGTTTGAGGACAGCAGATGCGACAAAATTATTGAAGAGACAACATATCTTCCGCACATTGAAGACAGTGACGTCACAGAGAGAATGGATTCTGGTAGTGAGTGGAATTCAGAAAGAAAAGTATAAAATGCTTGATGGTGATTATATTTTTCTTTCTTCCTTAAACCATTTTCCACCTACCATTTATTCTTTATTTGTCCTTCCTTAATTAACCCACTCTCCTCCTGTATATTCATTATTCTTCATTTTTCCTTCATCAACTCTCTTTCCTTCTCCGCTTTTGCTTTCCTTGATTTTCCATCTTCCTTAAACAATCCTCTTTTCTTCTAATCTTTTATTAATTCTTCATTTTTCGTTCTACATTAATCAATCCTCTTTTCTTCTAATCTTTTATTAATTCTTCATTTTTCGTTCTACATTAATCAACCCTCTTTTCTTCTAATCTTTTATTAATTCTTCATTTTTCGTTCTACCTTTATCAACCATTCTTTCTTTCTTCTTTCCTTCTCCGCTTTTGCTTTCCTTGATTTTCCATCTTCCTTAAACAATCCTCTTTTCTTCTAATCTTTTATTAATTCTTCATTTTTCGTTCTACATTAATCAATCCTCTTTTCTTCTAAGCTTTTATTAATTCTTCATTTTTCGTTCTACATTAATTAACCCTCTTTTCTTCTAATCTTTTATTAATTCTTCATTTTTCGTTCTACATTAATCAACCCTCTTTTCTTCTAATCTTTTATTAATTCTTCATTTTTCGTTCTACATTAATCAACCCTGTTTTCTTCTAACCTTTTATTAATTCTTCATTTTTCGTTCTACATTAATCAACCCTGTTTTCTTCTAATCTTTTATTAATTCTTCATTTTTCGTTCTACATTAATCAACCCTGTTTTCTTCTAACCTTTTATTAATTCTTCATTTTTCGTTCTACATTAATCAACCCTGTTTTCTTCTAATCTTTTATTAATTCTTCATTTTTCGTTCTACCTTTATCAACCATTCTTTCTTTCTAACCATTTTATTGATCTTCATTTTTCGTTCTATTTAATCAATCCTCTTACGTCCTACTCTTTAATTCCACTTCATTTTTCATTTTTTTAAAAATCAACCCTCTTTCTACCTACCATTTGCAATATATTTAGCCTTAATTAAGAACCGTATTTGCTACGTACCTGAGCTTTTCTAACAGTCCATGTTCAACCGTCTATTTCCCACGTGACACAGAATTGTTATTCTGTATTTTTCCTTAATCAAGCCTTTTGCATTCTAACCATTTCTCCTTCTTCATTTTTCTTTAATCAGCCCACGCTCTACTTCATTTCTCTATCAACTCCTTCTCCTCCTGCTCATTTCTCTTCTTTATTTATTTTCATCAGCACTTTCTCCTCCTACAGTTTTTACTTCATTTTTATTTAAACAGACATCTCTCCTCCTACACATTTATTCTTCTTCGTTTTTCCTTAATCGAACTCTTTCAGCCTAACGATTTATTCTTCTTTATTTTTCCTTCATGAACCCTCTCTCCTCCTGCACATTTATTCTTCTTCATTTTTCCTTCATCAAACCTCTCTCCTACTGCACATTTATTCTTCTTGATTTTCCTTTCATCAACCCTCTCTCCTCCTGCACTTTTATTCTTCTTCCTTTTTCCTTAATCGAACTCTTTCAGCCTACCAATTTATTCTTCTTCATTTTTCTTTCATCAATCATCTCTCCTCCTATCCATTTATTCTTCTTCATTTTTCCTGCATCAACACTCTCTCCTCCTACACATTTATTCTTCTCTGTTTTTCCTTCATCACCCCTCTCTCCTCGTGCACATTTATTCTTCTTTATTTTTCCTTCATCTACCCTCTCACCCCCTGCACATTTACTCTTCTTCATTTTTCCTTCATCAACCCTCTCTCCTCCTACACATTGATTCTTCTTCCTTTTTCCTTAATTGAACTCTTTCAGCCTCACGATTTATTCTTCTTCATTTTTCTTTCATCAACCTTCTCTCCTCCTGCACATTTATTCTCCTTCATTTTTCTTTCATCAACCCTCTCCCTTCCTATCCATTTATTCTTCTTCATTTCTCCTTCATCAACTCTCTCTCCTCCTGAATATTTATTCTTCTTTATTTTTCCTTCATCAACCCTCTCCTTCCTATCCATTTATTCTTCTTCATTTCTCCTTCATCAACTCTCTCTCCTCCTGAATATTTATTCTTCTTTATTTTTCCTTCATCAACCCTCTCCCTTCCTATCCATTTATTCTTCTTCATTTCTCCTTCATCAACTCTCTCTCCTCCTGAATATTTATTCTTCTTTATTTTTCCTTCATCAACCCTCTCCCTTCCTATCCATTTATTCTTCTTCATTTCTCCTTCATCAACTCTCTCTCCTCCTGAATATTTATTCTTCATTATTTTCTCTTCATCAGCACTCTCTCCTCCTACACATTTTTTTCATTTTTCCTTCATCAACCCTCTCTCCTCCTACACATTGATTCTTCTTCCTTTTTCCTTAATCGAACTCTTTCAGCCTCACGATTTATTCTTCTTCTTCATTTTTTCATCAACCTTCTCTCCTCCTGCACATTTATTCTCCTTCATTTTTCTTTCATCAACCCTCTCCCTTCCTATCCATTTATTCTTCTTCATTTCTCCTTCATCAACTCTCTCCTCCTGAATATTTATTCTTCTTTATTTTCCTTCATCAACCCTCTCCCCTTCCTATCCATTTATTCTTCTTCATTTCTCCTTCATCAACTCTCTCTCCTCCTGAATATTTATTCTTCTTTATTTTCCTTCATCAACCCTCTCCTTCCTATCCATTTATTCTTCTTCATTTCTCCTTCATCAACTCTCTCCTCCTGAATATTTATTCTTCTTTATTTTTCCTTCATCAACCCTCTCCCTTCCTATCCATTTATTCTTCTTCATTTCTCCTTCATCAACTCTCTCTCCTCCTGAATATTTATTCTTCTTTATTTTTCCTTCATCAACCCTCTCCCTTCCTATCCATTTATTCTTCTTCATTTCTCCTTCATCAACTCTCTCTCCTCCTGAATATTTATTCTTCTTTTTTTTTCCTTCATCAACCCTCTCCTTCCTATCCATTTATTCTTCTTCATTTCTCCTTCATCAACTCTCTCTCCTCCTGAATATTTATTCTTCATTATTTTCTCTTCATCAGCACTCTCTCCTCCTACACATTTTTTTCATTTTTCCTTCATCAACCCTCTCTCCTCCTACACATTGATTCTTCTTCCTTTTTCCTTAATCGAACTCTTTCAGCCTCACGATTTATTCTTCTTCATTTTTCTTTCATCAACCTTCTCTCCTCCTGCACATTTATTCTCCTTCATTTTTCTTTCATCAACCCTCTCTCCTCCTGCACATTTATTCTTCTTCATTTTTCCTTCATCAACCTTCTCTCTTCCTGCACATTTATTCTTCTTCATTTTTCCTTCATCAACCTTCTCTCTTCCTGCACATTTATTCTTCTTCATTTTTCCTTCATCAACCTTCTCTCTTCCTGCACATTTATTCTTCTTCATTTTCCTTCATCAACCTTCTCTCTTCCTGCACATTTATTCTTCTTCATTTTCCTTCATCAACCTTCTCTCTTCCTGCACATTTATTCTTCTTCATTTTTCCTTCATCAACCTTCTCTTCTTGCACATTTATTCTTCTTCATTTTCCTTCATCAACCTTCTGTTTTCCTGCACATTTATTCTTCTTGATTTTCCTTCATCAACCTTCTCTCTTCCTGCACATTTATTCTTCTTCATTTTTCCTTCATCAACCTTCTCTCTTCCTGCACATTTATTCTTCTTCATTTTTCCTTCATCAACCTTCTCTCTTCCTGCACATTTATTCTTCTTCATTTTTCCTTCATCAACCTTCTCTCTTCCTGCACATTTATTCTTCTTGATTTTTCCTTCATCAACCTTCTCTCTTCCTGCACATTTATTCTTCTTTTTTTTTCATTCATCAACCTTCTCTCTTCCTGCACATTTATTCTTCTTCATTTTTCCTTCATCAACCTTCTGTTTTCCTGCACATTTATTCTTCTTCATTTTTCCTTCATCAACCTTCTCTCTTCCTGCACATTTATTCTTCTTTTTTTTTCATTCATCAACCCTCTCTCCTCCTACACATTTATTCTTCCTTTTTCCTTAATCGAACTCTTTCATCCTAACGATTTATTCTTCTTCATTTTTCATTCATCAACTCTATCTCCTCCTGTCTATTTATTTATCTTCATTTTTGTCAACCCTCTCTCCTTCTACACATTTATTTTTCTTCATTTTTCCTTCATCGAGCTCTTTCATCCTAACGATTTATTCTTCTTCATTTTTCCTTCATTAACCCTCTCTTCTCCTACCCATTTATTCGTCTTCATTTTTCTTTACTCAATCTTCTCTCTCCTCCTACACATTTTCTTCATTCTCCCTTAAACAAATTTCTGTCCTCTTATACACTTATACTTCGTCATTTTTCCTTCTCTTAATCAGATCTCTTTCCTCCTACCATTTGCAATCTTTTTAGCCTCAATTTAAAACAATATTTGCCAAATGCGTGTACCTTTCTAACAGTCCATGTTCTCCGTCTATTTCCCACGAGATACAGTATTATTATCATCTTTATTATTATCATCTTTATTCATAGTATGACGTAGAAGTTTTTTTTTAAAAAGAGCCACGTACTTTGGCATCATGCATTCTTCCCTTGCTATATTAATTCCAAGTAATATTACTGAACAGAATGCAGTGGACGATGCCAAATGTCTGTTGCTAGATATGGACAGATACATTATCTAAACACACACACACACACACACACACACACACACACACACACACACACACACACACACACACACACATATATATATATATATATATAAAAGTAGATTACATTCGGTTATCTTTCTAATCCGGGTATCTACCACAGAAGTTTAGAAATCAAAGATTATACGCCAATAAATACCAGCGCATAGTGCACACATAAAAACGGGAGGACAAAATATACACTGACTGTCAGAATGTCATGGAATACTTTAGGTGGCTTGGGTTTTCATAAGATATCTACTGTTATCTTATTATTACTGCAGACATCAGGATGTATGGAAGGTCACAGTTATAACACAAGATGCTGCTGTTGCATTGACATCATTAAATTATTTTTTGCAGGTTTGGATTTCTATTCCGGTGCCAGCGTCAATATTACGGAAGGTCTTCAACAGCCCTGATTGAGGAACGTATTCCTAGCTTCCTTGACGTGCTTTACCGATTTAGCGATAGAGGAGCGTTTCGGTTAGCAAGGTCGATTTTAAAGCACGTCAGGCTATATGACGGTTCCGTATAAGATACAGGTTCGATTCCTGTCAGAGGACGCCTATTTTCTATGAAAATTTCTCGGACATTCAGGCCAGTAAATGTCGTTAATCCTGTTTATTATAAACATAGCATTTACTTAAATATTTGTATCTATTAAAATGAACGTATAAACATAAAAAAAAATGTCTAAATATTTGTCGGACTTTGTTTATTTAATAATATATATATATATATATATATATATATATATATATATCTGTGTGTGTGCGTGTGCGCGCGTATATATGTGTGTATGTGTGTGTAAACGTTTCTTAGTCTTTTTCTAAAGCTTAATTATAAAGCTATGTATAAAGGAAAAATGCAATACAAAAACTAGTTTTAGCCGATACTTTTCATCCAATGTTTAATTTTTCAAGTTAGAAAACGAAAAATTACATATAGGACGAAACGCATCAGCTAAACTACAGATTTTATATTGTCTTTTACCTTTATAAAACACGCATATATATATATATATATATATATATATATATATTGAATAAAAACAGATCACTTTAAGGTTCCATGTAATAATTTATTTCACCACAGCCCTTTTAAACGACTGCGGATCATCTGACTTTCCTTCCTAATGTTGAAACAAAAAATCAAAAAAGATTTACGTCAAAAATGTGTAAATTTCTCTTCATTTCTTTTTTCCTTTTCAATTTTTGTTTCAACCTTTGGAAGTAAAGTCTGATGATCCGCAGTCCTTTAAAAGGGATGTGGTGAAATAATTTATTATATGGAACCTTACAGTGGTCTGGATTTACTTTGAGCTCTCTCGATTTTATCCTCCTTGGGTTTACCCAAAGGATTACCTAGTTTTTCATAAACTAACTAACTAACTAACTATATATATATATATATATATATATATATATATATATATATATATATATATATATATATATATATATATATATATATATATATATATATATATATATATATATATATATATATATACATATATATATATATATATATACACACGCACGCACACACACACACACATATATAGATATATATATTTATATTTATATATATATTTTATATATTTATATATAGTTTTTTGGGAGGTTACATCTCGAAACATAGAAATGAAATCGGCGTCTTCTTGACCTCAAACGACCCAGAGAAAAAATGTTATCCAATTTTGCTATTATTCAGGCTTGAGAAGAGCGAATCTTGTAGAATTTCTTGCGCGCAATGTTCTCAATTCTTCATATGCATACCCTCATTTACTGACAAAATTTACAATACTTTCTGCGTGAAGCTATGTTATTGTACCACGCATTTGCTGTGTCTGTTGCTAACAATCTCGAGGCAGTATATGTTTATCTATTGCTCTGAGTGGTCGATACACAATCAGGCTATCGAGAAATCGATCAATGTGGAAAGTTGCTGTTTTGCATTTCGTTGGTTTCCAGAATCGGATTTATTCCCCTGATTTAAAATCAATATTTCGTTAAGTGTTCCTCATTTCTATTGCAATTTCAGCCATTGTTTCCTAAAATATGCCAGAAAAAAATTAACAGAAAATAAGAATGTTTATCTTATGTTTTCATGTAAAAACGTACGTCTTCTGCAATTAAATAAACATCATATTAAAAACGAGTTCTTCAGATATTTTCAGGAAGATTATTCCTATTTTTCATTATAAACTTACCAGTTCTCATTTAAAACTCGATATAAACGTCTATCGTAAGCTTTTGTCTGCTAACCAAACTTTAGTGGAAACGTCGCTCCCTTATTTAGTTCGATCTGTTCTTTGGAAGCAATAAAAGAAAATTTCATTTTCAGTTATGATCTGGAGAGACAGTAATTAAATTGAAAATTACTGTTTAGCATGTTTTCTTTATCTTCTACGTTATGAATTGGAAAACCCAACAAAACGTTAGATTGAGACGACTAAATCTATATGAAGTGAAATTATGTTGAATAGGATTAAATATTTACGAAACGGTTGGATTTACGTTAAAAGAAAAACGGCTAAAACGAATCACATTTTTATCGTCTGTTAGGGTTATCTTTTTTCATAAAAAAAGATTCTCTCGGTTTTATATTTAAATTTCATATACCTATTCTGACCATGTTCACCTAGATTGACGGGTTATTTTTTG